TCCAACCTGTAACGTTACATTTGCATTACCCTTGCAAAACTTCCATGTCCAACAGTTTTACCCAACTCATCAATCAGTAGTGAGTTGCCCTTACCATAGGACAGCACCGGGCAAAAGGAGAAAGAATAAAGGGTGCATGATAATTGCTTATCTTGTGTCTTTTCAGCTGAGCCTGGAAAATTCGAGTTGTCATTTCAGGCAGCTCCAGCTATGTTTTAGGGACCTGTGATCCACCTTCTATTGCTAAACTGAAAGGGGCCACAATTAGATCCTGAATAGGTGATTTGGGAGAAGCACATTATGGAGTTCCAGGTTAGAAATGGCTGACAAAGTCAGTGCCAGAAACAATTGTTTTGTGCTGCTCTCATCCACTCTAGTCTGTTTTATGGAGGAAAAATGCTGAGTTTCTATAAATACCTATCAACTGACAGCTGCCCAGAAAATTGTTTCTTGTCATGAAAGTATTAAACTGATCTTTTCAGTTATTAGTTTTTTACTACATATCTAAAGGGAATTACATTCCTTTTTCATTCATTCTGAATGAGTCTTATGTGATCAGATTATTTATGTATTCATTAGTTCTCATCCCCCAGCTCTCCTGAACCCTTTATGCAGTTTAAACCCAAAGTATGATGAACTTGGTAAAAGGCCACTATGTTTGATGAAAATACGCAGTGTGGTACAAGAGAGATTTAAAGTACTGCCCTCTGTATGAACAGGTTTGTAGTGTAAATTCAACGACATTGTTAAACATCATAGGATTCACTCAAGGGAGTGACATTTTAGGTGAAAGCTACCAAAAAAATTCATAAAATATTACCCTCATGGAATGTTGTCCACCTCTCCCATCTAGAGGGCTCATTTTTATGGTTATCAGTGAAAAGGCATGAAGGGATCAGTTTCTTTAGATGTATGTGGGTTGGTAAGTAACGTGCCTAATTTCGTTTCTTCTACTTTTAAAAACATAAGGAAAATTTTCTAAGCTGTGACAATGCAAGGGCAAGTATATCTATGCTAGTTAGATAGCAACCGTCTTCTGCGTAAAGGTTGGTGGAGTTTTCCTGGTCTCTGCTTCCCCAGTCATCCCATCTAAGTCTGTTTCCTATTCTGTAGGGGCCAATATTAGGACCTCTTATTACTATCTTAATTTCCTATCAGAAAATTCAAAGTTGAAAGATCATTTGCAAAAGAAACTGTCATGGCTCTTCAGCCTTGAACTTCTTACTCAATGAAGCGTAAGAAGGATTAGTTTCCATTCAGACTGCAGTTTGTTCCCTGAAGGTTTCCATAATTTTTCTACAAAAATTCAAACTTACAAAAAAGAAAAAAAAAAGAAGAGGGGGAAGACTTAGAAGAATTATATATCCTCTAAGAAAAAGATCTGTCTCACTGAACTTGGAGCAAGACCATACATAAACTATGTAGTGGAATATAGTAAAGTACTGTTCCAGTTTGCAGTGCAGATGGAACTAAGGTTTTGATGAGAAGCCTGATGAAGATATCTTTTAGGACAAAGGGTAGAAGAATTTGGCCCTAATACAATTACAGCAGTTATGTTCAAATGCTGTTTCAAATGTAATTATGTTCATGCTAATCCCATCTACCTAACAGTATGTGTTAACAGAATGTTAATAAAATGAAGCCAGGAGTTACCAATGAAGTATTTTACTCTTTTAATCAGAGGAGGAAAAAGAGGCTTTAGTTTGCATCTGCTTATCCTTCCAGTTACCTGGGCACAGTCAGCAAATACACTACCATAGGTCATAGAAGCACACAGAGACTTCACACATAGACAGAGACTATTTTTAGCATGTTTCTTACAGGACTAACAATTTGCTTTAGTTTTCACTATCCATTCCAGGGAGACTCTGAGGTTTAAATTATTCTGTATTGAAACTAGAATTTGAACCTTTTTTTCATATGATAATTGGATGAGTATCTAGCTATGCCATTCTTCGGCAACTGCATTGTTATCACCTGCAGTGCCCTCCCACTTCGTTACCGAAGGTCACCTTTCCCTTTTACGATGCACAGTAACAGCATCCAGAAACTCAGCACCTGTGGAAAGGTGATCATCTTTAAGTACATACTACAGTCTGGAGAAGTGTTTGAGAGGCACCTTCTTTTGTATTCTCAACAGATCTATGAGGTAGTCTGAAGCAATGTTGCCTTCTGCTTTCCCTAACACAAAGAGCAGTTGAATATCAGCATCTGAACAGAGGAGACTGAAAAACTGAAGAGTAGAGTCTGGTGTTCTCTTATCAGGATGTGACAATTATGCAGCTCTGTGACTGTAACAGCACTGGGCAGTAGCGGTAGAGTCTGTATCTGCGGCACCTCTCAGAAATAAAGGTCTGTAGAATACCACAAGTGAGAACAGAAGTCACAGAGGAGTTCAGCAATACCCATCCCACGTGTTAAGAAAGTGGATAAGGTCATATGCTGGTGGACCACATTGTCTCTTGTGACTCTCACAAGACAACACGGTGTAGGAAACTACACCACCATTTCAGATTGCTTCAACCCCACCCATCCCCTCCTCCCCCTCTGTGCAGCTGGCACAAATAACAGCGTGGGAGGGAGTTGGGAGGGCACTAGATACACATGGGAAAGGTGGTATTTTTTTTCCTTTTAGCTCCCAGCAGGTTCATTGTGGAGCCCTGTCAGCCCTAGGGACTTCTCAATGAAGACATGCTATGGTATCCATAAGGAAAGGGATCTTGGTATGTACAAGCAAGAGCCTGAGTAGGTACCAAGCACCACTGCCTACCACACAGCATGGATACACTTTGAAAAGCCCTAGGAGAAACCGCCTGGTGACCTGCCACAGCTGATGCAGATGCAGTACAGGAACATGGAGTGGCTCTGGAGATCAGCTCCTCAGACCTGACTGGCATCCCTCAGCACCACAGATCCCCAGGAATGCTCAGGGACTGGCCACTGGCATCCTGTTACTCAAACCTGGGATCAGGGGATTCACTTGAGGTTCTGTTTTAAGTCCCTTGGTTAAGCCTAGTGGGATTTCAGCATGGGAACCAGGTGTATTAAATAATTTACCTGTGATACATCTTGGCCCTGTTCCCTCACTGCATAAGGATGAGTCAGGACTTACACAAAATACTAAAACATTCAAGGAACCTGCAATTCTTTAGCTTTTGCATCTTGCAGAAATCAGCTCTAAGGGTCCTTCTTCAAGGAGTAGGAATGGGTATCAGTTACAGGTCCTGGCTCCCAGTTTTCAGTGACCATGTTCACTGTGCTTCTGGAATCTAAAAGGTAACAAATGGAGACAGACTTGCAAAATAGCTACCCTGTTTAAAAACACACAGCGTACATAACGAGGCAACTTCCCTTTTGTTTTTATCAGTTTTAAGAAGGTAACAGAGAAATCCATTTTTGTTTTTGAATTACACTAGGTGACCCGAGGAAAATAGGCCTTGTTGACTAATACCATTTTAGATAATCTAAAGGTTAAAATTATGAAAACTTAGCCAATGTTGTACGCAGACTTCCTCCTAACTTTTCAGCTATGAGGTTTAGTCAGCAAAATACCTGTAATTGAACCTCAACTACAATTTAAAAATCGAGCTAGCTGAACGAGAGCAAAACTTTGTGTTGTCAACAACACATTTCATTTTAAACTACACTTATTTCAGTTGAAGTCTCCAAGGAAGGGGTGCACGTACATTAATTAAAACCGCCTTGAGACCGTTTTAGCTGGACAGGGTTAACCTCCCGCACAGACACTTCCCCGAAGTTAACCTGACCCCATTGCGAGTGATTTTGCTTTCAAACTAGCGAAGCAGCCGCTCCTTCGGGCACACCCGCCGAGAAGGCGGACGAGGGGCCGCCGCGCCA